AAAGATTGCAAAAGCTGTGAAATTCATCTAGCAATATAGAAATGGCTTTTTAAAAATTATTTAAAACTAAAATTTGGCTTAATTGTCCAAGAAGAAAAAAAGAATTGATTTTCATAGCCACTGCAAATGTAGCAACTGTTTCCTCACTGTGGTTTAAGTAAAAAAGTGCTACCAAAAAAAAAAAAAAAAAAAAAAAAACAATTGTATCCTTAAAAACACAAATGAGAGCTAATTAACTTAGTCTGGGTGACCACTATCCCCTCCTAGTACTGGGGATTGAACCTAGACCTTCCAGGAAGCCAGCAAGTACTCACCACTGAGCTATGTCCTCATCCTCACCCCCCATCCCCAAGTCCACCCTACCCCCACTTTTTGAGCTAAGGTCAAAAACTTTAGATCCTCCTGTGTCAACCTTCTGCGATTTTAGATGTGTGCCACCATACCCAGCATCACTTAATTTTTAATGTAGCACTTAGCATAGGGTTGTACAATAACAACAATTTCCTTGCCATATAATATGGTTAATTTTCACCTCTTTATAAAATATTCATTATTGAAGATGTGAGTGGTGGCACACACCTGTAATCCCAGAACTGCATATTGAGACCCTGTCTTAAAAAAAAAAAAAAAAAAAGCTCTTGCTATTTATTTATTTATTTATTTATTGAGACCGGATCTATGTAGTTCAGGCTGGCCTTGAACTCACTATATAGCCCAGGCTGACCTCAAACTCACTTCTATCTTCCTGCCTCAGCCTCCCAAATGCTGGCACTACAGAAGTATATCACCATGCCCAGTTTTCAGTAGCTGTTTTCAGTAGCTGTATTTTATTTTATTTTAGGTACTGAGGATCGAATTCATGACCTTATACTTGCCAGGCAGGTGCTTAGGCCACTGAGCTAAATCCCCGGCCTGTATTTTCAAATTCTATGTACTTCAAATTTATGGCAGAAAACAATTTTCAATTGTTCTGTGCTAAATATATTTTTACACGATACCAAAAAAATTCAGTTCACTAAAGAAAAAACTTTCTCCTGGCATTTCCCTATCATGAAACAATAAAGTTGAGCCACTGTAATTACGAACCCAGCCTAAAAGCTAGTTACATTCATACAGCAATGCTTCCCGCTCATTACTTGGCCAGTAACCCAGAAAGTAATCTTGTAAATAGTAAAATGTCTCACAGAATACAAGTATTGAAAATTTATTCTAACACATAACAAGGAATAACCACTAATCGCCCTGAATATTGGAGGTGTATATATGTTCAAACAAGAGACTCTAAATTTGACAATTCAGCAACTTTCATTTGAGTAAATCCTTTAAAAATGTCTTTTAAGAAAATTGCACACTAGTATTCTCTGGTTGTCAAAGTTCTGCTGGTCTTACAAATTTTAAATATAGTGCAGTAGTACACATGTATGGCCCAGCAGTGAATTCTAGAAAAGCAGAGCTCTTAGGACTTAACTTAATGCACCTTTAAAAATACAACTACAGGTTTCTGTAACAGATTAGTAAAAAAATGAGTGTATCAGTGTTAGTAATTTAGATCCCCGTTTAAGAAGTTATAATTCCCCAAGATCACTAAGGTATGTACGGAGGTGAGGAATTTCTAATTGATTAATTGGTTTTTATCGCTACCTTATTGTTTTAGATCCAAGAAGTCCCCAAAGCTTGCTGTGACACATACATAGCAAAAATTCTCTGCCTGGAAACTGTGAGGAAGCCAGATAAGCCAAAATTATAGGAGTTATCAGAGTCCTATAAAAGTTGAAGGCAAATAGGGACCTACCTGTAAAGGCTCTAAATTTAAAATAGGGATCAAAGAAATCCTTTAATTTACACTGACAAAAGCCAAATGCGATAAAAATGCAGTCTCTAAAACTAAAATTTACTCTCCAATTACATTATGGTTTTCTACAAATCCACTTAAACAAGATAAACCAGTAATCCTTCAAACTCAGCTATTCTAAGAACAAAGACCATTTGACTAGTTGTCCCTCAAGAGACCAAATGTTTCAAAACTCCCTGGGAACAAATATTACACATAACCTTTTAATAAATTTGGTTCCATAATGCTAACTTAAAACACCTATAGCCAATTGATTTTTAAAAAATTTATAGCCACGTTATTTATAAAGTAAAACAAGACACAATAGCTTTTTAAATCGCATTTTATAGAAACTAAAAAACATCAAAATGAACAACAAAAACAAAACCAAAGCAATGAAACAAATCAGTATGAAGAAAACTGGTAGACTTAAGGAAGCTTTTCTGGCCATTTCTAACCTGGTATTTTTTTTTGTTCGAAGCTAAATCCAAATACTTTGTGTCTAGATCTGAGTAAGGGTCACTCTCAAGAAAACTATAGGCACATTTTCCTTCCTGTGGCCAAATAAATGAAATTTCTAAGATTATCCTGGTCTCATACGTTAGTTTCAAAAAGCAACCTGCTTCTGCACCACAGATTTTAATCATGCAGCCCACAGAGAGCACAGCAGTTACACATCCATGAAGGATCTATGTTTACCTACATAAAAACATAACATGAGCACTGACCCCAAATTCCTACAAACTCCCCCACCACCCACCAACATTTCAATACATAATACAGTATGGCAATACTTCTGAGTAAGGGTGTATTCTTAATCTTTAGCAATGGAGCTCACTAGAATGTAGAAAATGCTTAAGCCAGTTATTTCTATAATAATTTTGTACAACAGAATCTTATCAACTAGTTCATATATTCAACACATAAATCCTGCTCTAAAATATTTACAATGGAATCATTACAGGGTGTGTTTCCCCAATCTTGTAAGTACTACTGGACAGACAGGCACTCATCTTTCAGTAGTTCCACAATGAGAAGGGTCATAAATGGCATTTAATGACCCACTCATATCTCACTGCTTAATATAGCCCCAAAAGACAGGCCTTCCACTATGGAAATGAATTATTTCACTTTTGAAAATACAGTTAAATGACACCTGATACCATTTAACTTTCAGTCTCAGTCTATAAGATTTAGAAAAAAAGCATAAAACAGTTTCAAGACCCTATTATGGTAATGCTATTATTTAAAGTCTACTAAAAAAGACTAAATTCCACAATCCCATAATAGGTAAATGGGCATGTTAGGAGTGGGGGTGGGGATCAAAAACCAAAGCCTTACTTTTTACTTACATAATGATGATAGTATGCCATAAGACAAATTTAAAAGGCAGCAAAATGTACGGCTTCACTTTACCAGCTACATAATCAACTTTGAATTTCTTAAGGAGAGCTTTAAACACAAGGGAAAAACAGATGCAAAATATACTGGAAAGGACAGCATCTTTATACTCAATGAAGTAACAGGTCTAGGCTGGTTTGTACAGCTCCCTAAAATTTACAGGGAAACAGAATACAAAAACCAAAATTGGTCGAGAGTTGGACAGGAAATGTTTCACGCTAGGTTAAAATATCCAATCATATAAAACAGGTTACACTTAACACTCTGACATAATTTTTAAATCTATACTGACATATTGAATAAATGATGGTTGAATTAAACTCAACACAGATTATTACTGATACCTAAGCTTTCTTTTTTTTTTAAATGCTGAAGAGCATCCATCCTGACCACTGAAATTTCCAAGGCTACCTGGAAATTTTTTTCACTTTTTCAAAAGTGTTACTATTTTATCGGTCCCTCAGGGAAAATAAAATTAATCAACTAAAACATAATATCGTAACGTGCAGTAAAATCAGCACATTTTTGTAAACGGCGTGGGGACGGGGGGGGGGGGAGCCTTGTCTTTTCATGTAAACATAATAAGCCTGTAATATGCTGCAGACAAACGCACTGCATGGGGTGTGGAGGACCCGAGCTGATTAGATTACCACAACATCAGCCTGGGGCCGCCATTTTTAGAATCTGTAAAGGACAAAAGAGGGAAATTTCAGTTTTTTACTCCCATCTCAGAAATTAAAGGAGAAAAAGGACCCCTGTCCAATTAGCTATTGATGTCTCCAGTTTAGAGTTGAAGGCGCTTTACGCGATTCTCTCCAAGGTACCCCAGAACTCCAAGCCCTTCCCTTCATTCACATCTCCTTTAAGAGGTGAATAAAGCAGGCAACACGGGGCTGGCTCTGCAGCGAACCGGAGCGATTGGCCCGGACTCTATAATGTATCATTCGGGAGCCAGAGCCAGGCCCGGCCCGGCCCGGCCCGGCAGGATACGCGGAACTGAGGCCAATGGGAGCGAGCGCTCCGGATGGCTTTCTCTCCCTCCTCTCCGGCCCAGCACAGGGAACCGTTTGTTTCTCATCTGTGTCTGCTGCCACAGTGTTTGTGCCAGTCCTTCGGTCCAAATAAGCTTTTCTGCAAGGAGCCACACTGGCTTCTGGGGCTCTCCCGACAGCAAAGCCAGAGGAGTGGGGGAGGAGGCTGCGAAGGCTGGGTGCTGGGGTGACCACCCCGGGGGCGGGTTCGCCCTCTCCGGGAGAGGATGGGGAGCTGTCTCACTCCCCCCACCACCACAAAGAAGAGATGCCCGGGCCGTCCTAATGCCCCACTTCGTATTTGCGAGGACCTTATGTCAGGCACTGCCAATCGGGAAATGGGAGGAGAAAATGGGGCCTGTCCGGCTTTTCAGCACCTGAACCCGACGCAGCTGAGAAACGGGGGGGAGAATAGCATCTCCCGGGCCTCGGGGACGCGAGCCCCGCCACCGGCCCCGCGCTCCCTCCTCACCCCGGCCCGGGAGGCGGGCGCCCTCCCCAACCCCCGCTCGCAGGGGTTGAACTGCCAGTTTCCCCTTCCACCACCCCAAAACCCGCCATAATGCTCCGTGTCTGGGACAGGCTTAAGACAGGGCAGCCCCGTGGACGCGAGCACCATCCTGGCCAGGCGCGGACGCTCCAAGTCGGCGTCCTCCCGCCCGCAAGGGGGTAACGACGCGACGCCCCCTCCCCGAACCCCGACACCCCCGTCTCCCACGGGCGCGACACTCACTGACCTGGGGTGTTCACACACCAGACGCCCGGACCCCGTTATCTGCTCGGCCCCCCAGTAGTGTCTCGGCACCTCGGCGACCCGGCGACCCCCCAGACAGCAGCCACTGCGGACGCGGGACCGGTTCCACACACCCCCTCCCCAAACAGCAGCGCGCAGCCTCTTCTCCCGGAGCCGGGATCCGGGAGGGCGCGCCCAGGCGGTCCACAAGAAAGCAGAGGCGACGACGAGGCTGCTTCGAGTGTCTGTGCCTCCTCGGTGGCCGCTCCCTGACTCCGGCTCGGTCTCCGACTCGGCCCCCTGCGCCCGCTCAGTGTCACTGCTTCTCGCTCTGGGAAAATGGCGGCGACGACGGCGGCGGCCGCGGCGGCGGCGGCGGCGGCCGCGGCGGCGGCGGCGGCAAGTGCACGGGGCCCGCCCGCCCCGCTCCGCAGGGGCAGGGGGGAGGGGACGAAGTCGCCCGCCGCCATTTTGCTTGTGGGCTGCCGCCCGCCGTTGCCACTCCACCGAGTCGCGAAGACTAACAAACTGGAGGCAGGGAGATGGACAGGCTCCGTCTTTATCACAACAGGTGCACTGAACAATTCACCGAAGGTTGGGGTGGGGGGCTCGGGACTCGGTGGGGTCGGCCCTCAAGTCTGGATCGAGATGAACGTGGGCCTGGTACTACTCGGTGCAAGGAGGGTGACAGTGGGGCCTGGGCGCGACCCTGGCCCGGCGGCCCCAGAAAGCGGAGCATTTCCACCCCTAGACGACATCGGTGGGGCTGCGCCCGCCCCCACCAGGCCACCAGCACTGGGTGAGCCCGGCCGGGCGTCGCTCGACGCCCACTGGGGGCCGGGGCGGTTCCAGTGCGCAGACTCCGGGCCCTGAATAAAAGCGGAGCTGGCGAGCACGCCGGCGTCTCGATGGAGCGAGAAACGGAAGAGGTCGGGGGGAGAAGCAGCGGGGGAAACGCAGCCGTCGTCCGCGCCGCCTCCCTGCCACCGTGCTTCGCGGTAAACGCTGCCGTTGCCGTCGGTGCAGCTGCCGTGGCTGCCTCCCATACTTCTTTGGCCCCTGGGGAAGAAACTCCTTCCCTCGGGACAGAATTCGGGGAGGCGGTGATTAAACGAGGGGGACGGGCAGAGAGACGGTTATCTGGAAGAAAAGTGGCGGGGGGGGGGGGTAAGCCAAAAAATAAAACGAGGGTTTCCCCACTAAAGTGACACGGCAGTTACGGCTCTTGTTTTCCGGGTCGCTCCCCGAAATGGCGGTTTCCGTCTTCTTGCCCCACTGCGACCCGGGGCCGTTGGTAAGCGCAGTGGGGAGAGGCAGAGGCGGTCGCGGCAGCCAATAGGCGCCTGAAGTATTCTGTTGGGCGCGTCTTGATTGGCCAGCGATGACCTCATGCTGCAGCAGCGGGTGGGGCGAGAGCCATCGGAGGCTGTTGCAAAGGCAGAGAGGGAGAAGTGACGATGGTGATTGTTGCTGCCGCGGCCGGTGTGGAACCCGAACAGTGGCGATGGGAATCTCACGGATCCTTCCCTCACCATTTCCTCCTGTCCCTGCGCGAGGTGAGGGCCCTAGCTTGGCCTCTCTGCAAGACTTTGGGGCGCTGGCGCAGACGAGGAGATACGATGGCTCCTGCGACTTTTGTAACTGCGTCAGGGCAAGATGGCGCTGGGTCTCCTCGGGGCGCGGGGGGAGCGGCACGTCCGCCGCCGCCGCCGCAGCGCATGTGACCGGCTGCATTCCTGTGGGGTTTGGCTGAGGCCCAGGGTGGGCGGGGCGGGGCGGAGGCGGCCGCGGTGCGGTCGCGGCCTGAAGAGGAAGAGCTGACTGGAGAGAGCCCTGTCCCCGCGGGGAAGCCCCGGGACGCGCCCGTCAAGGGTGGCGGCTTTGGGTGCAGGAGGGGGTTGGCGCCCCGTTTCCTGTCGGCCTTCTCACGAAGTGGCTTACGTAAGGTGGCAGGGCCCCCGGTGTGTCCCCAAGCCACTCGAGGCCTGGCGAGGAGAGGCTAGCTCTGGGGCGTGCTGTCTGGAGGGAGGACTGATGTCTTTCCTGGGGAAACGTGGACTTTGTCAGATACAAATAGAAAAATACAGGACTTCCAAAGTTTGGGGGCAAGTGTAAAGGTATATAAGTGACACTCAGGCACATTTTTAATTTCCTAAAAGATCCAAGCCGTCGATGACAGTGCCATCTGAATATAAGAACCCTTTTTAAATTTCCTGTGCCTTGCCTTTGTATTTTATGCGTTTCCAGTACCCTCCTCGTATTTCCTGTAAGAATGCGCTACCTTATTCCTTTCTTATAAAATCCCAAGCTTCATTAGTAATACAAAATAAAGGCTGCCATTGTTTTCATCTACCTGAAATTGTAAGGTCCTTTTCAATGCTTTCAGTCTGTTGCCTCTCCGTCACTCTTACTCCGATTTTTAAAAATAAGACATGGAATTACAAGAATCTTTGGTAAATATTCAGTAAGATTTCTGAACCCATTATAAAGTGCATTTCTGACATCTGAAACTTACCTTTGGTGAAATTGTTTTGTATTTTGTGATTTCCATTTGGCCATACTAGTTAATAGCCAAAAACCAGTGAAGATTTAAAGATCTCCTTTGAATGGTGTTGAAGATTAGTTTTAGGAGACATTTTCTGCTAAAATGCATGAGATTTCTTGACAGAGGCTGGCTTTTACTTGGTTTTTGGTTTTTTGAGATGGTCTCACTGTGTAGTTCAGGCTGGCCTTGAGCTCACTAGGTAGCTCAGGCTGGCCTCCCCTCAGTGATCCTCCTGCCTCTGCCTCCTGAGTGTGTGCTGGGATTACAGGCCTGTGCCACCACACCTGCCTTTAAAAAAATGCTGTTCGGGGCTGGGGATTTAGCTCAGCGGCATAAGCACCTGCCTTGCAAGCAGGCGGTCATGAGTTCGATCCCTGGTACGGATAAAAATGAAAAAGACAAAAAAAGAAAAAGAAAAGAAAAAAAAAATGCTGTTCTACCTAAGCAAGAATACCTATTGGACCTAAAGAAAAAAGAGTTAACCTGGATCCAAGATTGTGACGTTTAGTTTTAGTTGTAGGGCTCTGATAATTTGCCAAGAGTGCATTTTGAAAATTAAGGTATGTATCCTTAATTACTAGTTTTTGTGATTTTTTTTTTTCCAGACACAACGTAAATTGGAAAGCTAGTAATTGACCTGTAAATATTTGGTACAAAGAATTTAACATTCAAAGCTTTTTTTTTGTTACTTGTTTATTCAGAGTACTAAAATTGATACATTGTATAAGAAATTTGGAGTGATTTTAAGGGGTTACTTTGTTAGCGATATATTTGTTCCTCCCTTTTCTTTGCTCACAGCAACTGCTTTGTGTAGAGAAAGGACTCTGTACGAAACCAGCAAATTATGAAGCAATTTCCAGAATGTTCGGAACTTCCCTCTGCCTAATAGAGAAGAGGCCATTTTGTAGACTGAGGAAACAAATCCTTTATGTTTTTAATCAGAATCTATCATCATTGTTCCTAATTGTCAAATCTGTGAACCTCATAAACTTAACTGTTCTGTGATGTTTTGCCTGGTACTTGGAATTACCTTTGTCTGCCTTCTTGCTTATGTGGTTCTCCCTGGTACTTGTTGTTTTCCATTAAGTCTCTACTTTTCATTTCCATCTTAGTAGTTCCAGCTTCAGAGTTGCACATGTAGTGTTAAGGTTTACAGAGGATGCAGCTTCCTGATTCCTGAGCTCTATAAAAACTAGTAAACTTGGTGTTGATTCCAGATAATTTTCTTTACTCATTCCCTCAAAAAATTATCTGCATAAAGTATACCATAGACTTTCTTTCCTTGTTCTTGTTTAAATCATTATTTGTTGTAGAATTGCAAGTCATCTGAGTCCACATTTCATGTTCCCTAATGTTCTAAAATGTGTACCCTCTGAAGAGTATCACACTGTTTCATATTTTTAATGCCTTTTACCCATTATCTGGGGCGCCCCTTTCTTCCTACTTCTTAATAACACAGCATTAGTCTTTTCCTTCTTGCCTGTTGAAATTTTTCTTAAATCCCTACACACAAAATACTTTGAGTCTCTTATTACATTGACCACCCAGACCCAGTGACTGACTGTAGGCATTTGAATGTACATGTTTTTACATAAGAGTAAACACTTTCTGGGGCCAGGAATTTAGCTCGGTGGCATAAACGCCTGCCTGGCAAGTTCAAGATCATGAGTTCAATACCCAGTACAAAAAAAAAAAAGGTTAAACATTTTCAAAAGAGCTCTTTTAGCCAGGAATAGTGATTCGTGCCTATAATCCCAGCACTTTGTTGGAGGCTGAGGCAGAAGGGTTGCGAATTCCAGCCCAGTCTGGGCAGTTTAAACCCTGTCTCTAAATAAAATGGGTTAGGGATGTAGTTCAGGTCAATCTCCAAGTGCTGCAAAAGAGCTCTCTTGGCCACCGTACTTTGGATAAGTGAGGAAAAGATAATTCAAGGGCAAGTGAGGTAGGGAGGAACTGCTGATGGGCCAGAGAATTTTGCACAAAGGTAGAAAAAAAAGTCAAAAACTGGACTTCAATTTTTTTAAAGCCATCCCTCTTTCTGTGATTTAGAGGGTGGCCTCATACATAAGCCTCAACAGAATATAAAAAATAGGGATTAAATGGGGCTATAACTCCTTAAGCGCAAGGTACTGAGGAAGTACCTTTCCTGGTACCAAAATAAACACTTCTCATGCTACTTCCATTTCCTTACATGTATCTTGGTGCTGCTGACAGTTAACATTAAGAAAGATCACTTGTCAATAATGGCAGATAGTAACTGAAGTAAGGACTTAGGATAACAGGAGCTTTTGTAATAAAGCAAGGTATATTGTGCTAGATTATTGGTAACACTAGTTTGAAAAAGGTTGGGGAAAATTATTAGGAAGTCTTGATTTTTAGGAGAACAGAAATTTTGAACTGCTAATGTGCCTCCCACCCCAACCCCAAAAATGCTGAGTACCCAGAACTGTTAGGTCCTCTTGAACACTACCTCAGTTAATGATGAGGTAGCAGAGCAGTGATCTCAAAACCTGTCTCCCTCACCTCTCATACTCTTTGTTCTGATTTCACTGAATGAGGAGACTTTCTCCTCAGTACTGGGGATGAATCAGGCTTCACACCAGCTAGGCAAGTGGTCTACCTACCACTGCGCTCTCCCTCACTAAAGA